CGTGCAACTCCCCTCTCAACGGATGCCTGAGTCAGCTCCAGTACCGGCCTTTCCATGTTAACGGATCCGTTAACAAAGAAAATGACATTATATCCCTTGGGGGCGGGATGCCACCCCCCTCGAATTCCCCCAAGTTTCATTCCTTCCGACTAACGGATCGCACGCTACGCGCGCTTTCCGTCACCTGCAAAAGTTTCACGGATTCGGAGTTGCTGGTTTCCAGAGTGTGGTGCTATCTTTAGCGCCGCGCGCATTCTTTTTAAACATGTGCGCAAGAGTTTCACTGGTTCGCATGGCCAACGTACGAGAAATGGTGTTCTGGAAAAACTCACGGTTGTGAGGATGCAACAGCTAGGTTGGTTCGCGGTGTTGAAGTACCAAGAATGCTGCTCTGGCACGATTGAGGATCGTCAGGGCGCAACAGTCAAGTTGATCCGTGGCGCTGGGGTCCCGAGAATTGTGTTTTGGTACGCTTCAGGGTTTTCCAACGATTGTTTCCCAACGAGGCGATCCCCCCAGTAGAAATGACCCATTGTAGGGGCCTATGAAGAGGGAACTTGGAAGGAGGGTGTATTCCAACATCGTTGATGAGTCTTGGTTTTACACTGGTCCTCCTCCTCCTCCTCCTCCTCCTCCTCCTCCTCCTCCCGCCTCTCTACATTTCCCCTCCCTGCTCGCACCTGGGAGAATATCGCAGAACTGCTTACACGCATATTTCAACGCCGACCAGGACCTATTGAAGGCCGATCCCCCTCTTCCCCTTCCTCCTCCCGACCCTCCTTCTCCCCTCCTCCTCTTGTTCCTTCCCCTCTCCTACACAGATATACACACATACTGCCATTGTCGGCAGCATGGTGAGCGCCAGCCACGCGGTAACTCCACACACGAACATGTGTTTGCATTAGCGGCCCGATACGACACCAATCGAAAGATACAGCTGCATTGCTCAAAGCAGTCGCGGCGATGAAACCACTGAGACTTGAGGAGCACACCCAATCGCAATGGACAACACTGAAGTCCAACGTATTCTCAGAAGCTCCACCCCGTCGCGGAAAACACTGGGTGAGGTTGATCGCACCGCATGTAGAGGCACGCGAGACCAACAACTGAAAGTGGAGACGCAGACCATCTCACGGGGGACAGGGGGATGACCTCGAACTGAAACACACCACACACCACGCCACGCCACCACCACCTCCTCCCTCTGCGACCTTGCCTCCCCCTCCCCATTAGTGCTTCCAATCCCTCTCTGTCTCTCGCTCTCTCTCTGCCACTCTGCCTGTCTCCCTCTCTCTTTCAGCCGGCCTTTCCCCCCCTCTCCTATTCAGCCTCCCCTTCTTCCCCGCCCCACTCCCCTCATGCACCCCCTGTGAGACCCAACGTGACACAACTCTCCCCAACCCTCGTACGAGCTGGGCCCTCGCTTTGAATGGAGGACGGCTCGCGCGACATCTCTCTGCCCATCCCCCTCACGCCTCCCCCCCAACTCTCTCCTCCTGCCTCCTTCGAAGGAGGACAACACCCCTCTTCCGGCACAGCATCACTCGGTGAGAACGACCCGGGACCGACCCTGGCGGACGCAGGACCGCAGGTACGCTGCCTCGAGAAACGAACATGGCAATTCGCGAATCGACTTGGCAGGGCGGGGCTTCTATCAACTCATCAGGGAATAGTTGCGATGTCTCCAGATTGGCAGAGTTCGTGCCTCCTGTGATCCTTTCGCTTGTGGGTGACCTTGACCTGTATCATTAAGGTGGATTAAGCCCTTTTCGACACCTCCGATTCCTGTCTGCCTTCGCGTTCCCCCCGGGGGCTGCTGCCAACATCGCGACGGTCGGCCCTCTCGTGGGCATCCAGGAGGTCCAGCGGAACTGCGTCCTACAGGGGTCCAGACGGGACCCCGCGCTTCCCTTTGGAGACGTCACCTGCGCAACTGTCGGCGCGTTCGTGGGCCCCAGGGAGGTCCAGCGGAGCGACGTCTCACGCACTTCCAAACAGGACCTCCCGCTTCCCCAGGGGGACTGCCACTTGCGCAACTGTCGGCAGTTTCGGGGGCACCTGGGGTATGCAAAGGGGCGGGACTTCGCCCTATCCAGGGGGCAAGTGTCGCCATTTCCATGAGATCCTGGGGATCCAGCGGCTCTCATTGCCGTCGGCTTCGAGCTATGCGCTCCCAGTGAACGTGCAGCACATGGTCGTCCCGTGGAGCTTTCAAACAAGTACCGCGTCCCTCGTCAAATGCTCGTTCGTGTTCTCTGGGCCCGTTGATGGTACCGCTTAGTGGAGTCGGGTTGGGTACATACCCTTCCCCGCTCCGTCGCGCACGCCGGAGAAGGCGGATAAACAGGAGCATGAGTATGACCATATGGCGAAGTCATCGCCTACACAAGGGGGGCTCATCACACATGGTGGCGTGACAACACTTTAGGGGAAGGAGGAGGTGGAAGGAAAGGGGGCGGGACGGATGAAGGTAAAGAGGGGGACAGGAGGTGGGAAGGGGGGGGGGGCGAGGGACGGAGGGAGGAGCACGAGGATGATGATGATGATGAGGAGGAAGAGGCGGAGGAGTGAAGAAGGGAGAAAAGAGGAGGGAAACAGAGGATAAGGATAAGGACCGTTGGGGGTCTGAGCGTCAACCGCACTACACTCCATGGGTGGGATATGGATGCAGGCCAAAGCATCTGGCTCAAGTCGCTGCCTTGGGCGAGCCCTCCCCCAATTGTTCTGGGGGGGGGTCGGCAGCCCCCACCTGGCGGGACGCCCCGCTTCCGTGAGAAAGGGAAGCTCTCACCGAGCAGCTCTCACCAGGCGGAGGCGGCTACCAGCCTTCTTTGGGCACGCACTCAAGCAAACCGCCCAAGCCTGCCCCGCAATCTGGGCGCGAACTGGCCCGTGATATGCCTCCCTGGCGCCCCCGCTCCCCCCCCCCCCCTGGGGGTGCGAGAACCAGCGCCTCGCCCGAGACATCCTCAACATCCGCCCCGAAAGCAGAGGATGTCAGGCACGCGAACACGCAGACCGTCCGAGGCATTCCCTCTATCTGAGCGCGAACGGGCCCGTGGGATACCCCCCTGCACCCACCCCCCTGCGGATCCGAGACACCCTCAACACCTGTTCCGAACACAGAAGACGTTAGGGCGGCATCATCATCCTGAGCATCAGCATCAGCATCAGCATCAGCATCATCAGCATCAGCACCAGCATCACCATGATCATCATCATCATCATCAGCATCAGCATCATCATCATCATCATCATCACCATCATCATCACCATCATCATCATCACCATCATCAGCAGCATCAGCATCATCGTCATCAATATCATCACCATCACCACCACCAGCAACATCACTACCATCACCAGCACCACCACCACCATTATTACAATTCGTAGCAGTCGTATCGTTGTTACTGTTGCTAGTATCAGCAGTAGTATTCGTAAGAGTAAGCAGTGCAGTATGATAGTTGGTAGTAGCATGCGTATTACCATTAGTGAAGTGATTGCAATGATAGATATGACGATCTATAGTTGTAGTATTCGCACTGTTGCTCGTACTTGCGTTATTAATAATACTGGCAATGATGTACATGCTGCTCAAATTCTTATTATGTTCTATCCGGATGGCCATAATCAGCACCATCAGCATCATCATCATCATCGTCATCATCTACATCAACATCATCCTAAACATCGTCATCATCATCGTCATCGTCATGGTCATCATCCGCATCATCATCTTCATCGTCAGCATCAGTATCTTCGTTGGCACCATAATCAACATCAGCATCCTGCTCGTCATCATCATCGTCGTCATCATCATCATCATCATCATCTAACTCACCATTAGCATCATAATCAGCACCATCGTTATCATCCAAAGACTTGTCATCATCAGCGTCATCATCACCATCATTTTCGCTATCACCACCACCATCATCATCACCATTATCATCAGCAATATCATCATAATAATCGTCATCATCACCATCATCAGCATCATCATCATCATGATCAGTATCATCCTCCGCATCCTCGTCATCATCATCGTCGAGAGTGTGAGTCAGCATCATCATCATCATCATCACCACCATCATCATCATCATCATCGTCACCATCACCATCACCAAGAGGAAGGGGGAGGAGGTGGTGTTATCGTGCTTGGCAAGGTGGGAATAATAACAAGAACGGCATCCTTCGAATATGTGGAAAAACAATGATTGAAATCCCGTGTAGCAGAAACCAGCACGCGGAGGGGGCGGGAGATCTTCCGGACAACATCTGGGGAGGAGGGCACCTCAGGGGGGGGAGAACATTGAGCTTGAATCGCTGATACATCGCGGATAGATCGGCGATAAGCCCCCGATAGCGGAACCACAGTTCCCTGGGCAGGGTGATGGACCAGTTGAGGGTTGATGCTCCCGCCCCTGAGCCTATCCCCCCGTATCTTTGCCCTGGGGGAGGTTGGCGGCGCGCAGAAAGGGGCAGGAGGAGAGGGGAAGGCATCTTGTTGGAAGGAGGCTGCTTCTTAGAAGGCGCCGGCCTTGCATCTGTAGACAAGGCCCGCGCCTGCTAAGAAGCAGGGGAGCTTCTAAGAAGCCTTCCCCCCTCCCCCCTGGCCCTCTCTGCGCGTGGAGGAGAGTAGGGGAACAAAAGTGACGCGGAGCGCGCCAGGGGCGGCGCCGGAGGCGCCGCCAGGGGGCCCCAGCGCCGATCCGAGAAATCCGCGCGAACCTCCGCGTTTTTATGCTTATGTCACCTTTTGTTTCCCTCCCCCTGGCCCTCTGTGCGCGTGGACGAGAGGGAGGGAGGGAGGTCGAGAGGGATTTTCGTCTTCCCCCCACTTCCCATATTTTCCAATATTCTCCTGGGAATTGACGATTAATCGTGTATGTGTGTTTTCCCCCTCCTGGGAGAGGGAGGGAGGGAGGACGAACATCTCGAGGCCGAGCGTCGCGAAACCCTGCCGGCTGGCCAGGCGCCCAGCTCCCCGCGAGAGCCTCGTCACCGCCTGCAGGTCGGCGCCCTCCGCCGCGCCAGCGGCAGTCGGCGGAGCGGGCCTCGCGAGAACGACGACGGGGGCAGCGGCGGCGGCCGCGGAGAGGAGGAAGGCAGGGAGGAGGAAGGAGGAGGAGGAGGAGGAGGAGGAGGAGGAGGAGGAAGGAGGAGAAGGATGGAGGAGGAGGAGGAGGAGGAGGAGGAGGAGGAGGAGGAGGAGGAGGAGGAGGAGGAGGAGGAGGAGGAGGGAGGAGGAGGAGGCGGAGGAGGAGGAGGCGGAGGAGGAGGAGGAGGCAGGGGGAGGAAGGCGAGGGGCGGGGGAATGGGGAAGTGGGCTTCCGGTGCTTTCTAGCGGCATTTTAAAGGGATGGGCGGTTGGGCGTATCGGTGGCCCTTCGGGGAGGGGTGCCCTCCCCCCTCTCTCCCTAACGTTTTGTTAGAGGGTCCTTTTTCGCCCCAGATGGCTCCAAAGGGGCATCCGATGCTTCAAGATGGCCGCCAACGCGGCTCAAGATAGCGGAAGATGGATCAAGGTAGCCTCCGACATACCTCCAAAAAGCCGCCCGACGGGCCACAAGACGGTTCCAAAAACTCTCGGAGCCCGAACCCGTTTGAAAAAAAACGGGGAAACAATGAGGTGTACATTCTCGCCTTTTCGCTTCCTATGCGCTTTGGAAGCCTCGAACTGGCACCAAGATAACCCAAGAGAGCCCCAAGACGGCCCCGAGAGCGTCCAAATGCGCCCCAAGAGCGCCCCAAGTGAAGGTTTTTGAGGGCTGCTGTTGAGGGGGGACCTAGACAAAGGACCCCGCCGTTTGATCGATGGCCTCCAAGACGGCCCCGACAGGCCCTCCAGAGGTCCTGAGAGCCCGCCAAAAGGTCTCCAAGAGGGCCCCAAGACGGCCCCAAGAGCGCCCCAAGAGCGTCCCCCCAGGACCCCAAGAGGCGGTTAGCCTCCTCCTCCGCCTCCTTCCCCTCCTCCCTCTCCTCCTCCTCCTCCTCCTCCTCCTCCTCCTCCTCCTCTTCCTCCTCCTCCTCCTCCTCCTCCTCCTCCTCCTCCTCCTCCTCCTCCTCCTCCTCCTCCTCCTCCCATCGCCCCCCCCCGCGGGCCCCAGGGATGGCCCGAAGAGGCCCTCCAAAGCCATCCCCTTGCTCCTAAAGATCACTCTGTTCATCCTGGTTGCCCGCTCTGTTTCACTATATGCTATATGCGTTTCTTCGTCCCTGTCCCCGCCCGCTCTCACGGGCAGGGGTTATGAACGGGCTGTTGGGATACGCGAAGCGTGGGGGATTTCCATCGGTTTCTCGAGCTTTCCAGATGGAGGGGGAGGCACGGGGCAGGGGAGGGAAGTGGAGGAGGGCGGACTGCGGGAAAGGGAGGGAGTATCAGGGAAGTATGGAAACCGAGCGTAGTATGTAAACGCGGTTCTAATTCGCCGCACGGGGCCGCTGAGTCCTCGTGGGAGTTGACCTCGCAAGCGTTGCCGACCGCGGTGATACTGACTTCTGCTTCAACTTACCGCCAGCATCGTTGAAGCGGCATTCGTGGTGGGCCACTGTCTCTCTTGGTGCTTGTGGAAGGTGCCGTCAAATCACTGGTGCACTCTCGCGCTCACGTAGAATCACGTGCTGTTCGATCACAAGCGCGAGAGATGAAACGAGCCCCACAATCTGGCCCGTCTCTCGCCTCCAACCTGCAGAACAAGCCATTATGAGAAGAAGCACTTCTCAACCTAACGCCATCGCTGAGCTGATGATGATGCATTTGGAGCAACTGCGACTCTGCTGCGGCGAGCTGCAACCGCGTCCGCGCGAAGGTCCTGCCCATGGTCTCCTCAAGGACTCGACGAATGTTTTCAGCATCGGCATTTCCCAATCCCCACAGTGCCAGCCATTAAGCCATGTATGCGCGGTCTTTGATGGAATGAAGGGTGGAACCCCGAAAAGGTCCAAAACTGCCACTAATTCAAGCCAGTTCAAAATCTCCCCCCTCCTCTCCCTCCCACCTCAACACTCCCACCCGTCTCTACCTCCTCCTCATCCTCCTCCTCCTCCCTCCCTCCCTCCCTCCCTCCCTCCCTCCCTCCTCCTCCTCCTCCTCCTCCTCCTCCTCCTCCTCCTCCTCCTCCTCCTCCTCCTCCTCTTCATCCTCCCCCTCCCTCCTCCGCCTCCTCCTCCTCCTTAGGGCACAACAGCAAGGCTGGTGGTATGTGTGCGCGTCCCTCCCCTCCGATCCTACCCACCCGTCACTCTTCCGTATGACCTGTTCCTTCCTGAGTCGCCACCAGGCGTGCTGTTAGAGCGGTCCTGGCGTCTCACTTAAGAGTAGCCTACACTATACTATCCTGAAGCCCAGGCAACTTCAACAGGTGCAGGGATGGGGGAGACAAACGGTGTCCAACATGGAACTGCCCATGGCGCTTCAAGTGGTTCCCAATAACTGCAATGATGGAGGCCAGCTTGGTTACAGAATGCGGCTCTCGCATCAGCCCCACCCGCACTCGTCTTGAACAGCCCCACTGCGAATTCCACAATGTGCGAACCCAACATTCCACGCTGTGTCACAATTATACGGGGTGCGGGTGGCTCCTTTGCAAGTTGTGCTCTCGCTGGAGACGTCCGTAAAACTCTATAACCGTGGAACTGAAATACAGACGAGGCGCGGATCATTTTGAAAACGGAGCTATCGTTAGATACCTCCTTGAACTTTATAATCACACACCTCTGCACCTCTTCAGCTAGAACGATGGAGGGTGGCCCGCTTACAGAACGGAGCTTCGCAGAAGTCTTCATCTCCACTGCGGGAAGCGTCCCCCTTAAGGGGTTCGCTGCCCGCAGTAGAAAGGAACACTTGCTAGGACTCGTGCTCCATCGAGCGTGGAATCCCGCCCCCCCCCGTCCCCGCCCCTCCACCCTGGGGCTCCGGAGGGTGTACCTGCCACGAAAGGTGTCCCCACCTTCTCGCTGAATCTTGAACCCCCTGGGGCCCCTCGGGGTGTCGTGAGGGGTGCTCTGGAGACCGTCGGGGCCTCCATGGAAATCCTGGGGGAACCCTAGTCCAGGGGCACTTCTAGCAACATCCCCCCTCCGCGTCGCTATCATCGGGGAGACGTAAGACCCGGGTTCGGGGGACTCGGGTTGGCCTCATGGGGCCATCAATGAAAATGACGAGACCCCATTAGCAATTTGACGCGAGCTCCCGCTGCAAACATCCCACGAACACTGCACCGCCAAAATCCAGGACGCGCTCGTCAAAAAACGTCGGCAAGCTCGAGTTCCTGCCTACTCGAGTCTTACGTTTCCCCGATCTGGGTCTCGTGAGGGGTGCTGTGGAGGCCGTGGGGGCCTCCATGGAACTCCTTGGAGCATCCTGGTCCAGGGGCACTTCTAGCAACACCCCCCCTCCGCGTCGCTACCATTAGGTCGGGCGTCTCCTCCGACAGGCGGATTTTGGACGGAAACTTACAAGTGGTCAAACATATTCAGAAATAGTGACAAATAGTCAAAAAATCGTCCCTGACTATGTTTAAACTACTTGTTCATATTCCTCCCGTCGAGGGACAGGCCCGATCTAACTAGAGGCCTCCTAGATGGGGTCCGAGTAGATGCGCTCGGAGGATCGCGCCGCATCGCCAATGCGTCGCCGATGCACCGGCGATGCATGGCCGACGTCGGCGATGCATCGGCGACGTCGGCGGGGAGACGATCGGCCTCCGCTTCGAGCCGCGTCGGCGATGCCTCGGCGCTGCGGCGCGCTCCTCCGCCCCCCACCCTCGGGTCGGGCGAAAGGGAGGGATAGCAAAGGGGGGGTTTGAGAATCAGCCAACGTAGCCGACTTTCCCTGCGCCTCCCGGCGCCGAAAGGCGCCCATGCATCGAGGAATGGGCCCGGCGGCGGGGCCGAAACCGGCTGCATGCAGCAGATTTCGTACCCCCCCCTTTCCCAATCCCCACCCTTTCGCCCGGCCCGACACCCACTCAGACCCCACCAGTCGGGAGCGGCCAAGAGGGGGGCGTCCAAGAGGGGGGGGTGCAAATCATGACCGGCGGCATGTGCGCGGCCCAGCGGGGGGGCCAGGGACCTAATGAAATAAGAAGAGGCGCCATGAAATCTGGGGAAAAATCATGGACCCCGCCATGATATTCCCCCCCCCCCCCTAGTCATCACCCCCCTCTTTTCCGCCCCCGACACCAGGGAGGCCTGGCCCCACGCTGCCACCGGAGAGGCGCCCCCCGCCCCGGCGCGCTCCCGCGCGGATCGCCCGGGCGCGGCCGGCCTGCCCCGCGCCGGCCGCTGCACCGCCAGCCGCGGGCACGCCAGCAGGAAGGCCGTGGGGTCCGCGAGGCTCTTGCGCCTCGGCAGGGGAGCGAGGATCCTCCTCCTCCTCCTCCGCCTCCTCCTCCTCCTCCTCCTCCTCCTCCTCCTCCCCTCCTCCTCCTCCTCCTCTCCTCCTCCTCCTCCTCCTCCTCCTCCTCCTCCTCCGCCTCCACCTCCTCCGCCTCCGCCTCCTCCTCCTCCTCCTCCTCCTCCTCCTCCTCCTCCTCCTCCTCCCTACGCCTCCTCCTTTCCTCCTCCTCCTCCTCCTCCTCCTCCTCCCTCCTCCTCCTCCTCCTCCTCCTCCTCCTCCTCCTCCTCCTCCTCCTCCTCCACACCAATACCAACAGGGCGAGGAGATGCACGGGGGCGAGGAGATTACCAGCCTGGAGCATAGCCCTGTCCCTATGCTGGGCACCTCCCCATCACGATGCCCATCTTGGGGACTCCCCTGTTTTTTGAGGGCGAATCCCTAGGATTGTCATCGCCTTTTGGCGTGTCAATCTTAGGGATGGGGATACGTTCGAGGCTGGTAAGGAGAGGCGACACCAAGACCAGCAGGGCGAGGAGGTGCGCGGAGGCAAGGGGGGGGGGGGGTCTCCCGGGTGGTGTGGTGCCCCCCCCCCTCTCGCTCGAGACGTCCCCAGTCTCCCGCTCGGGGAGGCCTTGTGGACCTCCTCGCTGGAGGTGGGCCCCCTGGTGGTGTTGGTATCGCCTCTCCTCCCTCCGATCGGCGGGCTGCAGCCCGCCCTCCGCCCTCCAGGGAAGAGTACGCAGACGGCATCTGTGCACTCATGTTGCTCCCATCGTGCTCGAGGGCCACATCCCAGAAGTAGTTTCGAGCAGGCGGGAGAGGGGGGAGGAATAGAGCGGGGGCCTGGCCACAAGAAACCTTCCACGAGAAACCCAGCCCTGAGACCCCAGGACGCCCATCGATTTTTGTTGGCGTGGGCGCGTCACGCTCTCCATGGCAAAACCATCGGAAGCCAAGGAACCCAGGGCACCCAAGAAGAATACGCAGCAAGCATCTATACACCACCACCGTGCCGAGCCAGGGCCACCTTGGCCCTAGCATGGTATTTACAGTCGGGGCGTTGACCTAAGGAACCCTAGAGAAGGAACGAGGGCCCTTTCTTCCTTGAGTTAAACTTCGGCTTACCATCGAAAGCCTGAGGAACATCTGGGGCGAAGTGCAAACCAACTAAGGAACACGGATTCCCTCCCCGACGAAACGGGTTCCTTCTTCAGCGCCCCGACGGTGCGCCCTCCTGGCTGAGGCCAGGAGGGGCTATACACCATCCCAGGGCCCAGGCTGGCCCTGGCCTGGCACGCTGGCACGCTGGCCTCCGCCTTCCCGGCAAGAAGGGGGGGAGGACTGGGGGAACGGCCAACGACATAGATACAAAAGCTCGGAGGTCCGCGCGGATTTCTCGGGTCCGCGCTGGACCCCCCTGGCGGCGCCTCTGGCGCCGAGCCGAGAAATCCGCGCGGAGCTCCGATTTGTTCCCCAAGCAGTGCTGGCTTGCACTGCGAAGCTGTCCAGGGGCAATCGGGTGCCACCCGGGCGCCAGAAGAATGGTGCCAACAGCTGTGTCACGGCATGGGTGGCCCCCGCACAAGCTCCGCAAGGTTCCACCACCTCCCCCCCCCCTGCCCCCCAAGCGCCAGCATCTCGAAGAGTGCCCGCCACCTTCTCCCCGACCCCCGCGTGCGCTCCCGAAAAGCACAACCTGTCCCCATCCAGGCCCCTGCCGCCAGTGGGGGGGGGGGGCTAGACTGGGCCCCTCTTTCTCTCCTCCTCCCCATACAGTGGGAGCCGATCATCAGAAACCTTCCGCAAGAAACACAATCCTGAGACCCCAGGACGTCCATTGATTCTTGATGTGGGAACGTCACGCTTTCCATCGCGAAACCATCGACACCCAAGAAACCCAGGGCACCCTGGAGACAAGCAGGGTGTTTCTCGGCATGGGTCTCCACTGTAATTACTCATCCCCCCTCTCCCCCCCCTGACGTCCAGCGGGGCTCCTGGAGCCCTCGACCCCATCCCGGATATTTCCAAGGCCGCCTGTTCATGCTGGGTCGGCTTTGCATGTCGCCAGGACCCGAGAAGGGCCTCCAGGAGCCCCTGGCCAGCCGCCACCATTGCTTCTCCCTTATTCTTCGATGGCCCCCGCGCGCGAAGCCCGAATCGGGTACACACCGGTGGCCCATCTACTTTCGTGACGACGGCGGTCTGGGTCGTTTCCCCTCCATCCTGGAGGATGCCATGAGGTGGTCGTGGCCCGAAGCGCCCCCCAGGGCTCTGGCGCCACGTGGGGCCCCATCGGGCCCTCTCGACGTCATCAGGGGTGCCCGCCCTGGAGGCCGCCTGGACCTCCCTGGGGAAGCTGGGGCCAGGGCCGCGTCTAGCAGCTCCCCCCCTCCTGCCCCTCCTCCGGGCCCTTCCTCCCGGCCCCTGCTCCCTCCCCGCCCGCCCCAGCCCTTATCAGTTTACGCAGGGGGGGGCGAGCCCTCGATACACCGAGGCCGCCGCCCTCATCGGCTCCAGGTCGGAGAGCGCGGAAACCGTCCCTCCTCTTCCTCCTCCTCCTCCTCCTCCTCCTCCTCCTCCTCCTCCTCCTCCTCCTCCTCCTCCTCGTCCTTCGAATTCGACGCCTTCGAAGCCAGAGGGGTCAGGGAAACCTTCGCCCGAGCTCCTCCACAACCTCTACAACCACGCAATCTGAATTCTACTCTCCCCTCTCCCCCAAGACGTGCGTAGAATCGCGCGCCCTCTTCCGCGTAGTGTTCTTTTGCACGATAGGTCCCCAAGCCGTGCCTGCACTGAGGGGACTTACCTGTGTTCTCAGGCAGCTGGGTCCAAGTGACGGTCCGGCCGGCTCATCGCCGCCAGTCGCCGCCGTCGCCGCCGGGCGTCAGTGGCGGTCCGGCCAATTCGTCGCCGCCCGTCGCCGCATTGCCTTGCACCGCAACGCATTTCAGTGCATTGCAATATGTGCATTGTTTCGCATTGCAACGCATTGCTGTGTATTGCAACGCGTTGTGTTGCACTGTTTTGCGTTGCGTTACGTTGTTTCGCATTGCGTTGCAATGCCCACATGGATTGCACCACCTAGATTGTACAAACTTGTTTCTTACATACACAAAAATTAGCCTGGCGAAGGACCCAAGCATATTCAGTTGTCAGTACCGCCGCTGCGGGTTTCATCTTCAGTGGAACTCCCCATAGGACCACGGAACGTGTGAGGGGTGTGCCGAGATGGGTGCCACTGGGGCATTCGGTGAAGCTCCCTATGGGGACATGAAACACGCGCGGGGCGTGCCGACATGGGTGGCGGAAACGCATGTGAGGGCCGCCACTGGGGCCTCCAGTAGAGCTCCCTATTATGGGTCCCCGAAACATGATGCTGCTGCGGGGGGGGGGGATGGGTGGCGGAGACGCATGTAAGCGCCGCTACCGGGGCCTTCGGTGGAGCTCCCTATGGGGCCACGAAGCGCGTGAGGGGTGTACTGGGATGTGTGGCGGGGACGCATGTGAGCGCCGCCACTGGGGCCTTCGGTGCAGCTCTCTATGGGGCCACGAAACGTGTGAGGGGTGTGCCGAATTGGGTGCGGGTGGTGACGCATGCGGGCGGTGCCACTGGGGCCTTCGGTGGAGCTCCCTATGGGGCCACGAAACCTGTTGTTGTGAGGGGCGTGCCGGGATGGGTGGCGGGGACGCATGTGAGCGCGGCCGCTGGGGCCTTCGGTGGAGCTCCCTATGGGGCCACGAAACGTGTGAGGGGTGTGCCGAATTGGGTGGGTGTGGGTGACGCATGTGAGCGCCGCCACTGGGGCCTCCGGTGGATGATGGGGCCACGAAACCTGTCAGGGATGTGCCGAAATGGGTGTGCGGGACGCATGCGCATGTGAGCGCCGCCACTGGGGCCTTCGGTGGAGCTCCCTATGGGGCCACGAAACGTGTGAGGGGTGTGCCGAATTGGGTGTGCGGGACGCATGCGGGCGGCAGCACTGGGGCCTTCGGTGGAGCTCCCTATGGGGCCACGAAACGTGTGAGGGGTGTGCCGAATTGGTGTGCGTGACGCATGCGGGCGGGCAGCACTCCCGTGTGGCGGCTACCTTCGGTGGAGCTCCCTGGGGCCACGAAACGTGTGAGGGGTGTGCCGAATTGTGTGTGCGTGACGCATGCGGGCGGCAGCACTGGGGCCTTCGGCGGAGCTCCCTATGGGGCCACGAAACGTGTGAGGGGTGTGCCGAATTGGGTGTGCGGGAGGCATGCGGGCGGCAGTACTGGGACCTTCGGTGGAGCTCCCTATGGGGCCACGAAACGTGTGAGGGGTGTGCCGAATTGGGTGTGGGTGACGCATGTGGGCGGCAGCACTGGGGCCTTCGGTGGAGCTCCCTGTGGGGCCACGAAACGTGTGAGGGGTGTGCCGAATTGGGTGTGCGGGACGCATGCGGGCGGGAGCAATGGGGCCTTCGGTGGAGCTCCCTATGGGGCCACGAAACGTGTGAGGGGTGTGCCGAATGGGTGTGCGGGACGCATGCGGGCGGCAGCACTGGGGCCTTCGGTGGAGCTCCCTATGGGGCCACGAAACGTGTGAGGGGTGTGCCAGAATGGGGGGTGGAACCGCATGCGGGCGCAGCCACTGGGGCCTTCGGTGGAGCTCCCTATGGGGCCACGAAAAGTGTGAGGGGTGTGCCAGAATGGGGGGTGGAACCGCATGCGGGCGCAGCCACTGGGGCCTTCGGTGGAGCTCCCTATGGGGCCACGAAACGTGTGAGGGTGTGCCAGAATGGGTGTGGTGCGTGGGACAGGAATGTGCGGGCGGCAGCACTGGGGCGCTTCGCGGCGCTCCCTATGTCCACAAAACGTACGAGGGGTGTGCCGAAATGGGTGTGCGGGACGCATGCGGGCACACCCACTGGGGCCTTCGGTGGAGCTCCCTATGGGGCCACGAAACGTGTGAGGGGTGTGCCGAAATGGGTGTGCGGGACGCATGCGGACGGCAGCAATGGGGCCTTCGGTGGAGCTCC